ATTATTTATTAAATATTCATGATGCCCTCCAAGTGGAAGGGAGGGTAAACTGTTGCTGCTTTACTTTATACTGCATTCACAACTGCTTATACTCAGCACAATGTATCTCTATTTCCCATTACATGTTTGCAGCTCCACTATATAAATTACACATTGCTTAATATTAAATGTATTCGTTTAGTTTTAAAATAAATGTCAAATTGTTAAAACGTTTTAAAGTATTTTAAACCTAAGAAGATAATATGGATGAACATATAGACAACCTCATGGTTGTTTCAGTTCCTGAAATACAGAACATTTTTGTGACCTCACTATCAAGACTTTTGAATATTGAATAAAATAATCACACCATATAGCATACTGTGCCAAAATATTTTCAAAGAAAATCTGATTTGTCAGATTTGTTCATTATTAGTTATTAATATTTTGAATTAGCTTTTATTTTTATATTTTCAGTTTTCATATTAATTTCATTTTAATTTAGCACTTTTTACGTTTTTCATATAATATTTATATTTGAATTCAGCTTCATTTCAGTTGTTGAAATCAATTTTTAATAGTTTTAATTGAACAAAAACAACAATGGCATCTGCAGCACTTTTGACCAAATGACAGAATGAAATGTCATAATGGCAAAACTCAGGACAAGGCTCTTTGTAATGAAAACCTTTGCGTGGCCGCGCATTACCACTGCATTTGAGAGGGTGCACAGAGTGGCACAACACTGCCTCTGGTACTTATTTTCATCTGAGAGAAGATGTTTCTGCAACAGGACCAGAAATGCAGAGCCATCTCAAGAGGAGGAAGAGCTGCACCCTTGCATGAAACATGCTCATCATCAACCATGGCACTTCAGAGCCACTCGCACAGACTCCTATCAGAGAGTGTAATGTATGCGCATAGACGCGTTCATATATAAACACACACCTCTAAGCAGACACACTTGAGCATTAATAAACAAGAGGGCAGAAACAAACACCATGGGGAGTATGTTCTGTGACTCTTGAGAACAAAATAAAGGCTGAGAGGTCAATAATCCACTTTAAAATCTAATTACAATAACTCTGAGCTGTACTTGAAGGAAACTGACAACTCAGTGCTTTCTTTTTAAATGACAAAGCATCTATGAACTCACTGACAGCGTGCACACAAATCTTAAATCCAGCTATTTAATCAAAAATAATTTCATTAAATAGTTGGATTTAATCATTTGATTTAATAGTTTGAAGTACATTTGGTGTAAGCTACTCTGGTGATCTTAAATAGGTCTGTCAAATTAAATAAATAAAAAAACAGTCAAAAGTAATAAACATTAATGTACTATAATTTGTTATAAAGAACAAAATCAAGGAGGGGCTTCTTCACACACACACTACTGTTCAAAGATTTGGGGTCCTTAAGTTTTCTATAAAGACCTTTACATTGTTCATTTCTGTTTAAATTCAGCTTTGCCATCACAGGAATAAATTACATTTTAAAAAAGAAAACAATTATTTTTAATTGTAATAACATTCCACACTACTGTTTTACTGTATTTTTTAAACAAATAAATTCAGCTTTGGTAAGCACTTCTTTCAAAAACATATAAAAAAAAATTGTACTGACCTCAAATCTTTGAACAGTAGTTTACTTCCACATATCACCAGCCGCTTATTACAGGAATCTTTCATGTATACAACACTAAACTGTCAACCCTTTATCAGGACTGTTGTCATTCTTACACTACAAATTGTTGCCCTCTGCTTTAGGTGAGGCCTGGTTGCTGTAATGCTGACCGCCACAGACCGACGATCCTTGGTTATCTTCATGAACTCTTGGTGACCTGTCATAGCTGCCCCATCAAGTTCTTACATAAAGTATTAATACTGTTGTGTATAGTAATTAGCATTGTAAGTCAAATTTTAGTTATATTTTAACATGTTTTACAAGAACTTTCAGATCAAGAAATTAAAAAATATATAGTAAGAGACCAGTAAATGCAGTAAAGAACGGAATACAAACACAAAACCAAGCATAAAAAGCTATAATAAAGAATATCAGAGGCTTTGCACTGGCTGAGGTTGAGACAACATGGTGTCATCAGTGGGCTGTATTTACAGGCCAGTCTCATCTATCAGACACAGATGTGTCACATGGTCTCCATTAGGCTAAATATCATTCATCACGGCATACAGCATCAACCTGCTCCCAGTCTTACCCTGTGCTGTAGTGGTCAAGGGTTAACTGCAGCATCTTTGACACACACACACACACACACACACACACACACACACACACACACACACCCACACACACGATGCGCAAAACTCCACATTTGAACAGTCAATAGCAAATACTTAAACTAGTAACCTGTCATAGCTGCCCCATCAAGTTCTTACATAAAGTATTAATACTGTTGTGTATAGTAATTAGCATTGTAAGTCAAATTTTAGTTATATTTTAACATGTTTTACAAGAACTTTCAGATCAAGAAATTAAAAAATATATAGTAAGAGACCAGTAAATGCAGTAAAGAACGGAATACAAACACAAAACCAAGCATAAAAAGCTATAATAAAGAATATCAGAGGCTTTGCACTGGCTGAGGTTGAGACAACATGGTGTCATCAGTGGGCTGTATTTACAGGCCAGTCTCATCTATCAGACACAGATGTGTCACATGGTCTCCATTAGGCTAAATATCATTCATCACGGCATACAGCATCAACCTGCTCCCAGTCTTACCCTGTGCTGTAGTGGTCAAGGGTTAACTGCAGCATCTTTGACACACACACACACACACACACACACACACACACACACACACACACACAGCCGTACATGGGCAGTCCATCAGGAGCAGTTAGGTCTGAGAATGGACATTCTGGATAATTCAGTGCTTCCTTCCTCCATCTGTATATGCCTTTCCAAATGTATTGATGGCAACATTAAAAGACAATAGTAATAATACAGATTAAATATTCATTTGTCAGTTAAAGCTATAAGCTAATTAAGTTGACTTAATTTGTGCTAATGACCTTCCTTTTTAATATTAATAAGTTAAAAAGTAATCGGAGGTTAGACAATATTTTAAATTGATTTCTTCTTCATATGCATAAAATATGTATGGAATTAGTGTTGTTAATACAACTGTGGATTAATATGTCTTTTCATATTTTATGGGGTCTTTAGAAATCTTTTCTCAAATGAAGTGTGCCAAATAAAAAGATAAAAGAACTCCATTAGTTTGGTTTATGATTTGGAAGTTCATCCTCCAATCAAAGACCCTTGACGTCATCCCTCCTCAAACCAGTTATGACAGTTCTCATCTGCTTTCAGGTTTGAGACTTACACATACTCATTCACTTCTCCACGACTGCAGATTCTGTATATCCCACTACTATATTTTTTTACAGTGAAGATTTACAATAAAACTTACAATAACATTAAAATGACAAACAACTCTCTCTAAATGCATGGCAATCAAACTATTTTTTTACATGTCATAACATGCTTCTCTAAAACATATTCTTCGATTTACTGATGATCTGAATAAAGTCAGTCCCTTTAACTACTGTTGCTAATTCATACATTAATAGCCTACAATAAAATACATTTTCTTCCGTTATAAGCAATTATGCAAACTAATTGAATTGATTAATTATAAAAAATATTTATAACAGTAAATAGCTATAAAATATGTAGCAGTGATCCTCCTCACGCTGATGCACAAAATTGTGAAGATATCGACTATCACAAACCTTCACTCTGAGAATAAATGTCAAGGCATTTATGGATTTAATTCAAACTCATTTTAAATATGAACGCGTTCAATTCTTAAAATATATACAGAAGCTAAATTCCAGCATGTATCGCAGTTACGCTTATACGCACATAAATTCCGTTCTTCAGCAGTGTGAATGGGAAGCTGCCTGCGTGTGGTCTGAGTCTTTACGTAGCCTAGTAAAAGAATGACTTCAACGAACACAGTCAAGTAGGCGATCAGACCTCCTACAGACACCCAGTTAATATGATTATATCTACAGAACATTACACTCTAAAAGTAGCTAATTAAAAGTGAAATCTTAAGTTTAATTGGTGCCTTAAAGTTGAACGGTGCCAGAGTTGCGAAGTCGCACGTTTTAGAATACGAAATTTAATTCTACTGATGAAGAAAATCGAGTTGAAAATTGAGTAGAAATGACAGATTAAATTAAAAAAATTAAATGAATGAAAATAAAGATGTTGCAACAAAAATATAATAGCCTTATGGAAACATTTCATTTTTATTTTACCGTAGTATGAAGTAAATGTAGCCTACATTTTACATAAATGAATAAATATAGGCCTATGTTTTAAAAGTTAAGTAGGAGTCTAATTAGGAAAATATTTTCAAGTAGAAATAAGAACAAAAAATGCAAAAGTTATGCTTCAGAAGAAATTCGGGAGAATAATGTCGATAATATTTGAATTGGGGTTGCTGATGCGACAGAAAAAGTCTCATTCTCAAAGTCACTAATCTTAAACCTTAACTTTAACGCAGGCGCAGGTTTAAAACTAGGCGGAGAGCCACTGAGAAGACATTAGGCTTATTATTATTTTTTCTTAACTGGCAGTCCATTTGCTGTGTATGTTTACAAAGTTCACGTGCACAATAGCCAGATGCCAAAATCTCTATTCTCAGGCAGAGATGAATATTATCGGTTCAGCGGGTCGCGTGAAAGAGGTGTAAATGAAAACAGTTTAGAAGACTGTGCGCGCCCCTCCTTTTGCGGAAGATTGTCATGTGACAACACCGCAGAGACACAGAAAAAGGGGGACAGACGCTCACAGACTTTAGCAAACACACAGAGAACTCCGGGTGAGACCACGAGAGAAGACTTCGAGATGTTGATTCTGTGCTGAAGTTTATTGGCTATAGAATGAACAGGAATTCACAAACTCCTAAAACAAACAAATGAAACGCACAGCATAGGCCTAACTTGCTCAAAACTTGTTACAAGAATGGATATTAAGTGAGTGTCAACTGAAGCAATGCATTTAGGCTATTAAGATGTCTGACTTTTCACTTCGGATCAGTGTGCGATTTTCAACAAACTCGGGAGTGTTTTGAAGGTATTCATCACTGACTCTGTGAACTCAAGGCAATTCACTCGGGAAAATGCCTCGTCCTGGAAGAAACACGTACAGCGATCAGAAGCCGCCGTATTCGTATATTTCGCTGACCGCGATGGCCATTCAAAGTTGCCCGGAGAAGATGCTCCCTCTCAGCGAAATTTACAAGTTCATCATGGACAGGTTTCCTTATTATCGGGAAAACACACAGCGCTGGCAAAACTCCCTTCGCCACAATCTTTCCTTCAACGACTGCTTCATCAAGATCCCGCGGAGACCGGACCAGCCGGGGAAAGGCAGCTTCTGGGCTCTCCATCCCACCTGCGGTGACATGTTTGAAAACGGGAGCTTCTTGAGACGCCGCAAGAGATTCAAAGTGATGATCACCTCCGAGCACCTGCAAAAACGCTCAGACGCGTCGCATTACCTCCAGCAACAAGCAAAACTCAGAATGACCGCTTTTGGGACACATCTACCTCAGACGACCAGCTACAACTTATGTGTGTCTCAGCCCTCCACCTTCAAACACCCCTTTGCCATTGAAAACCTAATTGCCAGAGATTACAAAATGCCAGGAAGCCTTGCTTTCTCCACCATGCAGTCCATGTCTACGGGTTATCAAATACACAATCAGTTGACCACGGCTTGGCCCCACATGTACAGCAGTAATGTGACAGACGCTGAGTATACCGCCTATGGAGTACCACTCAAATCCCTGAGTCATGGCGCGCAAAGTTTACCGGCGATCCCTGTGCCAATCAAACCCGCTCCAGCTTCGGTCGCGTCCATCCCGGCGTTGCATGCGCACCTTCCAGCGTTCCTCTGCGGCTCTCCACAGTCCCTCAGCCCGACGTCTCCCACCCAGAGCAGCCCCGCCACACCGAGCCCGACCTCGCTGCTCCATTCGGTCGCCGTGCACTGTCAAGAGGTCACTTAAAACTTTAAGAGGGACTTGAAACTTTCCTTACACATCCACCCTGATTCACTGGCACCGACTAAATAAGGCAAGAGGCAAGACAACAGTATACAAACCATCTTATCTGAAACCTGTGAAATGATATGACTATTTAAAAATACAGAATACAGTAATAATCGGTTAAATTTGCATATAGCTCAGTTTGTCTATGACATATATGTCACGAATTTAGGCTACCTCCTATTATTAAAGGTCAAGAATAATATTGAAAAATGCACAGACTATGAAAATGAAAATGTGAGAACAAGTGTAAAGAGTTTTGGACAGTAAAGTTCATTAAGCAGAATTAAAATACGATCATTCTCCATGTAGATAATTTCACTTGTAACTTAAAATTTTGGGCTATTTTAAAGCCATTAAGTCTCATCGACATCAAGTAAAGAAACAGAAAAAGACGGAGAATCGCATGTATAAGCACAGATGCTGCAGCCTTTCCGTGTGGCAGTGAAGAAATATAAAAACTGAAATACTCCTACAATGCACTTTTGGTGTGACGTTACAAATATCGAAAGATGTTGTTCTGTGAACAATGCTCAGCCTAATTTATCCGCTTCGTTGAAATAGTCAAAGCTGTTTTATATAAGTTTTCTGTATAATGTTGACATGCTCTGATGTACTAGCATGCTGCTTTTCACGTAGGCTATACCTGAAATAAATTATAAACTTTGTCATCAAACCTCATTAAAATACCTTGAGACTTACTGTAAGTCATTTTAAATTGTATAATGGAGTTGCTCAATATTGTAGGCTATTG